TCTCTTTATGTTACTTCGTTAAAGACCAATAGTTTTTTTTGTCTTTTACCTTATCTCAAAGTAACATTGAAATCCTTGTTCGCTATTAGTTAGAGAAATATTTCGAGAAATACGGCGTAAATCTATCAAATTGGATTTACTGGCTACTGACATTTTTTTTAACAGATAAATTTTCTTTGTAACCAGATATTTCTTTTACCATTAGATGGTTTCATTTTTTTTATTTTGCTTACTCTACTGTTATTGGTAATAAATGAAACACACAAGAACATTAAACATAAAGTCTTGGAAGAGTTGATTTGATTATTCCACTTAGAAAATCAGTCCTCTAAATCGGCAAAGAAAATCCACATAAGTTTTTTACAATTTCACAGAAAAACTTAACAAAATAATAATTTGTTGGCAAAAACGAATCGAGATTCAATTTATGGCTTGAGTTTTAATTGAGTCATAAAGAATTCGACACGGACAATCAAACAATTAGTAATGTAACAATTACACTGGCAGTAAGGGCGACTGGTAATAGGAGATTAGATACTTAGAATTTGATTTTATTAATAAATATAATGTGCTGGCAGTAAGTGCGTTGGGTTGTAGGGGATTTTGCTGATCGGATTTTTATTTTATTAATTTAATAAGAGCGCTGTTGAGTAGTTAAACTGGGTTATGAGAGATCATGTACTTGGGTTGATGTTTTTGGGCTGGGACTTCAAGTTTTAGGTGTCCGAACGAAGTGTAAGGGCTTATCCAATCAACGACCTCCTGCGCAAAAGTTCGCGCGAGTTCTTAGTTTGATATCGGGACACTGTGTTGGATCTAGGTTAAAGAACACATTAAACGTACGGAGAATCCTTACAAACAGTTCTTATCATGAAAAGAAACTTTGACGAACCATATACCCCTTAATTTCATCTTACCATAGGAGAAACACAATAGTTTGAATAATAGCACATTTTGACCCTGCCATTTAGTGTAATAGAGCACATTTATATTTTGAATGTGCTTTAGTAATCAAGACAGTTTATAATTTCGCTGGGATTGATTTTAATATCGTGTTATATGATATCACCATTACGTCATCCACGGTATGGACTTGTTTCTGCAGTGGTTCATCTAAAAAATTGATTTTTATAAAATTATACTTCTTGAACTAAAGCAGAGTTCTTAGATATGATCCATTTTCTACTGAGCCTAAATTTTTAAAATCAATATTAGGTTTCGCAGCCAATCTTGGGCTGTCTTGTGGTTGGTTGCTATAGTCCAATGTTCAAAATTATATTTTTAGAAGAGTTGGAGAAAAAAATACTTAGGTTAGTTTTTTTATAGGTTATTTACTATAATCGATATGTTTATAATGAATTACTAGTTTTTGGAAATATATGGTGCATTTTACTTAACTGTTAAGGTTCAGTGTAATGGTGCCCTTCTGAATGAGTCATAGAATTTAGATTTTCCATTGTATATTCGATTGACATAAAAAGTGTTTGCTGACAGAAAAAATTCTTGACTTCCTAATACACTGGGCTATTTCTATTATGACCGTCATAGTGATAAATTTAATGGCTGAATGTCTTATGCTATACGAATTTCAGTTTCAGGCAAATAATCTTGAAATCATAAAAAACTTATTCAAAGTCAATGACTGTCTAACTTTTTTTGTAATACATACAGTGAAATCAAGACCCTCCACGATTAATACTAGACCTTATTTAGCCATATTTTTCAAAAGGTACTTAATACAGATGAACTTCTGGAGACCTTACCTTTTTATCCATCACTTTTTTATATGCTCAGAAATATTATTTTTATAAAAATTTTTTAATCAACAAATTTTTCTTTTTTAACAAGTTAGGTAAAGAAAAACTTTGTAAGGATATGATACCTAGGGTGGTTTATGAAGTCATCCGAAGTAATGGAGATGCAAATTATACAGGACACACCTTACGTTTATTAAAGACTAGATTAGACGAGCATATACGTGATATTATTAAAAACGACAAAAAATATGTGCTTGCCAAACATTACAGAAGTACATCCTATATTGAGTTTATTAATTGTATCCATGAAAAAAGCAACATTTGCTTAGATAATCATTATATTTAACACCTTTTGAAGTAGCTACTTCTGATGAAATGCTGAACTCTTTTTTTCATCCGTTGGACCCATTTCAGATACTCTCGTTTTTTTCCGTTCTGTTTCATCACTCTTTATTTGTTACAACCTTTTAGTTGAATTAGAATTATAGTTTATGTAGGATTATAGTAATGTGTTGATGTTTTCATTGTACATGCACATTGTGATATGGCTCGATGAAACGTCAAACTTGCAAAATAAATGTGCTCCATCTCACCACGTTGGCAGTGTCTAAATGTGTTATTTTACAGCTTACTGTATTTTTCCTGAAATAAGATAAAGTGGAAGAATTTATGCTTCATCAGAATTTCCTTGATTATTGTTTCTTTTTTAAGCCCTTGACTTCAGTTCATTCGCTCAATTTCAAATCAGTTTCTATGTCACCGGATCTTGATCATATATATATATATATAAACTTTTGTTATATGCATCGTTGAAAAAATTTTTTTTCTCAATTGTTCAACAATTATGGCGTTGCCATTTTTAATTTTATGTTAAACTTTACGAAAAAGCTTAAACTGGTTTTCAGCTCAAACAGCATTATAAAAGTGTTTCTAGGTTTGGATTCTCTCATTTATGTTCTTAAAATCCGTACAGATTCTGCTACATTTGTTTATTTAGTGGGTTCGAGTCTCGTAGAAAATGTTCAAGATTTTTTTCTCGGTTTTTTTTTTGATAGGAAGAGTACCCAGGGTGCTGAAATACTACTAATCCGGTTTTTAAAACAAATAGGTTATTTTTCTGTTGATGTCTGGACATGCCGAGGAGCTTCCTTTTCGAAGGAAAGCCATCACCTGGCTCGCTTATCAAGTAAATTTACTGTTGGGCTATAAAAAAATCGGTGCAGCGAGTTAAATGGTTTATTGAAAAAGATCCTTCCGTTAAAACTTGATAATACCCTCTCGACTCTAAGCATTTAACCAGGTATCACCAATACTTTCCAAGGTATGCGTTTGACGAATCTAATAGTAAATCTATTAAGGAGTAACAAGCTTAAACAAATGTAAGAATCTTGAACAGGCTAGGAGCATGAACGAATCTCTGCCTGAAATCACCAAAATGACTGAACTTGAAGAGAAAAAGAAGGTGCTTTCAATACCAGCGTTATTGGCATAACACTAGAAGACATTACGAAAGAACACTACAACTAGCTCCAATGCTTCAGAACGTGGTAGTTTTCCTCCTGACCAGTTCGGTGCTACAACAGCAGGCCAAAGAATATCATTCTGAGGTATTTAGGCAGTCTTATTTGCTGGAAACTTGAGTCAAGGGAGAGTTTAGCTCACTAATCATTTTTGAGGGCCATCCAACTTTGAACTACCTTGACCATAAATATATTATAGCTTAACAAAAATGACAAAAAAAGCCCACGTGGCTCATAAAAGTTGTTAACAACGTCTAGAGCCTCAAAAGGGTAAATTGGAAGGAAAACTTTAAATGTATACAATTGTAAGCGTCAAGAAACTGACTCAAAACATTCATCGAGATTGGAATAGCAGCGTCAAAATTGGTGAATAAATAAATCATTTAGTGAAAGAACAGCTTTCCATTATAACTTTGACATTGAAAACTCAAATTTTCAACAATTCAAATAGGTGGAATAATATGTATTTGTGTTCATTGTGGCGCTAAAAAATATAGAGATGAGGCTTCAGGACTTTGTTGCTCTGGTAGTAAAGTTTTTTCACTGCAAAAAATTTTTAGATCATTTATTTTTCATCAGGTTGTAATGACTAACCTTATTTTGTATATTATAATGTAAGAAAGTATTTACACGGCTTTTTTTTAGGCGACAACCAACAACTATTGTAGGCATGAAGAAAGCTTTGTAATTTTCAACATCATTATATTTTTTTACCTTTTTACAGCTTACTATTCGAAAAAAACTGCATAGATTCCAAACAATAATTTTTTTAATTTAAAGTTTTTATTCCAAGAAGTGACAAGAATACATGCAAAATTTGCAACTGAAAACGTTTTAAGTGACGTGTCAACATACTAAGGCTCTCCAGTCAGTGAAGCTCAGACAAAGCTGAGACGGGTAGGCTGTTAGTATTTCAGATCTTTGTTTTAGTTAACTGTTTTAAAAGTAAGCTCTTATTTTATACTAATAAGCAGATTTCTACCCCTGTCATCGGTCAAATTACCTATCCATTTTGTTCGAATAAGAAAATGCTATAAGTAGCATGTGTGAGAATAGCGTTAATACTCTTCCCTATAAGTCTATCATAAATGTTAACTAGCGTTAAGGGTAAAACTCATTATCAAAATGTTTTTTAGCCAAGGTATGATTTTTATTGCGCCTCCTGCATGCCTGATAACTTATACCAATCACTAGAAACAACGAAGTATTACATAAGTTAAACAGTGCTAAAAATTATGCTTTTTATACATAATCAAGTATGGTGGATCGTAAGAATCGCTGAATTGGATCATAAGATCCATTTTATTTTTTGTATTTATTGTGTTTAAAATTTTCCAGTGTCCTGTTATTACAGTGGTTAACTCATTATTTTTGAGCTTACACTGCAAGCGTAGGTGTTTGAAATTACCAGTTTGTTTTGGTAGTTGCTTTCTTATCGAGAAATGCTTATGAGATAAGACCTAAAATCCAATTCTACACATTTTTATCGATTCATATACAGAAATGATTACTGTTGAATGCTATAATGATCATGATATTCTTTCACTCTTATTTATTTCCAAATCATAATCAGACATACGTATGAGTCTCTGAAAGTAGTTGAAGATACTTATTTTTTTAAGCGAGCCTGAAGATGTTTGTCAAAACAGTTTCTTAATTTTTGATACTAGAATCAATTAATAAATTTGTCAGTTTTGGAATTCAAATTACTTCATATTTTCAGGTGGCCGAATGTTTCCTACCAGAGGTGATTTACATATTGCTCCATTTACAGACGAAAACCTTTACATGGAACAATTTAATAAATCTAATTTTTGGTACCAGACGTGCTTTCATGGAGTAGATTTATCAGCTCTTAGAATTCATGCCATCAAGGAGTATTTTAGACAGCCAATTGTGGATACTTTTGATATTCGTATTTGTATAGCTAAATCTGTTCGTCACATTATTGACTTTCAAACAGCAAACGAAACTGACTTGCACAATATTGGTAAGAATAATTAAAAATAATAATTACTTTAACCTTGTATAAGGAACATTATTTTTATCTCTGTATTTTTTAGATGCCTTTTTTTTAAAAACTATTGATTTATTTATGATGTATACTTCAAATTGCAGTACCACGTCACCCTCTATGTCATGTATTACACCGGATACCTTTTTTTGGTCAGTTAATTGATTGTTCAGTTCATTTTATCTCAATAGGTACCTTACAAAAATGTTATTTAGACTTTCCCCAAGCGGTCACTCAGAATATTTTCTTGTATGAATGAATAAATAATGCGACTACTCATGCAAGATTTTATAAAAAACTTCTTGAGCTGCGAGTGTGTTCATTTTTTAACAGCTCGTTGACTTTACTGCAATAGATTTTTTTCTTGAAAATTTTATAACTGCATGACAAATTAATGTTAAAAAACAAGAAAAAAGAGGTTAGCGTAAAAATGTGTTTAACTTAATTTATTAAAATTTTTACCTAACTACCCTCATAGTTTTTCATCGTATGAAATTCTATTGTACATGATTTTTTTAAGACTGTACAAAAAACAATTTATATTGCTATTTTTTAATTAATTAAAATATTAGTGTTACAGCCAATATTATAAGCCAGTATTAGGGTGATGGATTTATTCTATTATTAGGCCAGTAAACGACGGTAAAAAGCGGTGTAACCTTCCATTTGCTTCGTTAAAGATAGATTTACATGAAAATTTGGGTACAAGCTCTACTTACCCCTAGTTCAAAATCTACCCTATGCCGCCCTGTGGTAATTGCTATTAAGGGTGAAAACTACCC